CAGGGCTGGAATCTAGAACAGTGGGAGCCATAGAAACAACTTCCTCCTCCTCCTTCATCCTGTTGCTAGTCTGTGAAAGTCCTGTGCACACCTAACCCTTGTCTTTCCCTTCCCTATCATTCTTCCCTCCCACACAGAGCCTTGAGAATGTTGACTACACAGTCAGAAGCCATTGCTCCTAGTTGTCACCTTGGCTCATGTAATGTATGTCATAGACAAAGTCATTCCACAGACTCTGTCTCAGTTTTGATATCTGAGCATTGACTCTGCTCACCCTTTGTTTTATTACCAACTCAGCAACAGGTGCTGGTCTCACATCTTCAAGCTGCACAAGAAGACCCTTGGACACAGTGCTTATGTAGGCTGCACTGATGATATTGTAGCAGAGGTTACACTGTGCATGTCTCTCTCCCCACAAAGGTTCCTCCTATGCTATCATCAGTGTCTTTCCCTCATTTCTTTTCATCGCTATTCCCTTCTTCCAAGTTGTTCCATTAAAACAATTCTGATCCATCCTAAACTTTCATGCTCATTTTCATTGTGTAAAAAACTGTTTCCATGACCCTCAGCTTCCTCCATGAGATGCTACTTAGTAACCATCAGCTATTATTTGAAATATTTACCTGAGTCACAAAGCTGTTTTTCTGAATCTCTGTGACTTATACACTATATCTACCTTAATGTTTTAGATCAAACACTAAGACAAATCAAAAGGCTTCAAAAATAAGGTGACCAAAAAATTGGTCAGGGATAGTCCTATAATCCCAGAACATGTGAAATTAATGCAGGAAGAATCTGACCTCCAGACAAGCCTGAACTATACAGTAATTTGATAACTGGCCCTGTGGGGCAGAAGTTCAGGGACACACATGAGAGAGTTGAGGCTGAGAGAAGAATGGAGACTCACACTTAGGACTAGAGTAGATCAGCATAAGTGTTTGAACAGGAGACTGTGGAGAAGGATATCAGGGTAAGCAGATAGGACACCAGTCTTGCTATCCTGACTCCTCCTGCTGCCCCTCTGGCCACTGAACAACTGCTGTCTCTTCCCTTGGCACTGTATTCATCATTTCCAGGCTCAACAGTCATATCGTAAGTAATCCTGCTACTGCTGCCCCTCTGACAACCACACAACCACTGTCTCTTCTCATGACCCTTTCTTCATCATTTCCAGGTTCAACAGTCACATCCTATGTCATTGCCAGAACCAACCAAGGCTCATCAGTACTAAACAAATTACGACCGGAGCATAGGAGAACTAAAAAGACAAAATATTCTGAGATTGGTAACTTAGAAAGTGACAAGTCTGGATTCACAAGCAAAGGTAAGCTGAGCTGACAGCTGGAGATGGGACTCCTAGTCACATAGATGGTGGTTCTTCACAGGTGAGCCTCCACCTGTATGGGGACCTGGAACAGACAACTTAAATGGAAGGTCAGAGGACACTTGGAGGGATGCTAAGAGACACAGGGGACATACTATGTTTGTCCTTCTGAGTCTGGGTTACCTCACTCAAGATGATATTTTCTAGATCCATCCATTTGCCTGCAAATTTCATGATATCATTGTTTTTTACAGCTGAGTAGTACTCCATTGTGTATATGTACCATATTTTCCTTATCCATTCTTCAGCTGAGGGGCATCTAGGTTGCTTCTAGGTTTTTGCTATTACAAATAATGCTGATATGAACATAGTTGAGCATGTGTCCTTGTGGTAAGATTGAGCATTCCTTGGGTATATGACCAAGAGTGGTATAACTGGGTCTTGAGGAAGACTTATTCCCAATTTTCTGAGAAACTGCCATACTGATTTCCAGAGTAGCTGTACAAGTTTGCATTCCCACCAACAGTGGAGGAGTGTTCCCCTTGCTCCACATCATCTCCAACATAAGCTGCCTTCAGTGTTTTTGATCTTAGCCATTCTGACAGGTGTAAGATGGTATCCCAGAGTACTCACTCATAAGTGGATACTAAATGGGAGGGGAGGGATGGCCAAACTGCAACCCACAACTCCAGAAAGACTAGCTAACAGGAAAAGACCCTAGGAGGGACACATGGATGACCCTTTGAAGGAGAAGTAGATGAGATCTACATGAGTGGACTAACTGTGGGGGGGCTGGGGGAGGGGGGGAGTAGTGGGGGATAAGAACATAGGGAAATGGGAGGGTTAAGCTGGAACAGGGACAGAGTGGGAGGGGAGGGAGGAAGATACCATGACAGATGAGGATATCATAGGAAGAGGCAGGGTGCTGGGGAGGCTCTTAGGAATCCACAAGGTTGACACCACCTTGGTCTGCTGGCAGTGGTCCAGAGGGTGCCTAGACTGGTCTACTCTGGTGACCAGCCTGGCAAATAACCTAGCTGTGATCATAGAGCCTTTGTCCAGTAACATGGAGGCAGATACTGAGATCCACAGCCAGGCACCAGACTGAACTCCAGGAATCCAATTGATGAGTGAGAGGAGAGATACTGCAGGTGAAGGACATCAAGATCATGATGGGAGAATGTGCAGAGATGACCGGCCACACTAGTGGAAGCCCATAAACTATAGACTGGTGGCTGTGGAGCCCCCATGGGACTGGATTAGGCCCTCTGGACAGGGAAGACTGTTGTTTGGCTTGAACTGTTTGGAAGGCACCCAGGCAGGGGGATCGGGATCTGTCCCAGGTCTATGGGCAGGCTTTCTGGAATCCGGTGCCTGTGGTGTGACACCTGGCACAGCCTTGATGCAGTGGGAAGGGGCTTGGACCTGCCTAGGCTCAGTGTGTTGGGCTCTGCTGACTCCCCATGGGAGACCTTGATTTGGAGGAGGTGGGGATGCAGGGTGCTTGGGAAAGAGGGCTGGGGGATAGGAGGAGGAAGGAGGGGAGTCTGTGGATAGCATGTGGAGTAGAAAATTTCTTAATAAAGAAAAATGGAAAAAAAAGAGAGAGACAGGGAAGAAATGAAAACCTCTGGGCTCTGCAGTGCTGAAGCTGCATGTGACACATAAAGAAACTGGAACCCATGAGAGGACATCAGTGAACCTAACCCAAATGGCACTGAGAGTTCAGCTTGAAATATGAGTGGGTTCTGAAATCCCAGGGCTCATGAGGTACTAAAGTTCTAAAAAGGTCTCTTACCTTGAGATGGACCCCAAGGAAAGAGAAGGCTCCTGTCTCAGCTTGAGCCTGACTTCCCTTATTTCAGCTTATGCACACCACACCCTTGCCTCTTCCTCCTCTCAAGCATCAATGTAGCCACCTCTCTCCATAGCCAAGGTCTAGACTGAAAGGTTAACTTGTCCTAGGTCACAGAACATAGAGCCAGCTGCAGGGCTGGAATCTAGAACAATCAGAGCCTTAGAATCGACTTTCTCTTCCTTCATCTTGATGCTGCTCTGTGAAAGTCCTGTGCACACCTAACCCTTGTCCTTCCCTTCCCTATCATTCTTCCCTCCCACATAGAGCCTTGAGAATGTTGACTACACAGTCAGAAGCCATTGCTCCTAGTTGTCATCTTGGCTCATTAATGTGTGTCATAGACAAAGTCATTCCACAGACTCTGTCTCAGTTTTGATATCTGAGCATTGACTCTGCTCACCCTTTGTTTTGTTACCAACTCAGCAACAGGTGCTGGTCTCACATCTACAGGCTGCACAAGAAAGCCCTTTCACAAGGAACTTAGGGAAGACTCAACCGATGATATTGTAGCAGAGATTACACTGTGCATGTCTCTCTCCCCACAAACGTTTTTCCTGGACTACTGCCAGTGTCTTTCTCTAATTGCTTTTCATTGTTATTCCCTTCTTCCAAGTTGTTCCTTTAAAACAATTCTGCTCCATCCTGAATTTCCATGCCCATTTTATTCATGTATCAAACTGTGTTTCCATAACTCTTGACTTCCTCCCTAAGATACCACTTAGTAACTGTCAGCTATTATTTGAAATATTTACCTGAGCCCACAAGAAGTTTTGCAGAATCTGTGACTGGTATACATTATATCTACCTTGAAGTTTTAGATCAAACACTAGGACACATCAAAAGGCTTCAAAAACATGGTCATGGAAATATTCCTATAATCTCAGAACACGTGAAATTAATTAGGAGAACCTGACCTCCAGGCAAGCCTGAACTACACAGTAAGATGCTACCTATGCCTGTGGGGCAGAAGCTCAGGGACACACATGAGAGAGTTCAGGTTCAGAGAAGAACAGAGACTCACACTTAGGAATGGAGTAGAACAGCATAGGTGTTTGAACCTCATGGCCCCAGAGCAGGAACCTTTTCCAGCAGCACCTGGAAGTTCATCATTCTCCTCAGGAGACTGTGGAGGAGGGTATGAGGGTAAGTAGATAGGACCCTAGCCTTGCTACCCTGACTCCTACTGCTGCTTCTCTGACAATCACAACCACTGTCTTTTCACATGCCCATTTCTTCATCATTCCCAGGTTCAGCATTCATACCCTATGTGGATTCCAGAACCAACCAAGGCTCCTCAGGGCAGCTCAGCTTGCAGCATGGAGATCAGAGACCAAATCAAATGTCAGCTATTCAGATTGGTAACTTGGAAAGTGACAAGTCTGGATTCACAAGCAAAGGTAAACTGAGCTGGCAGCTGGAAATGGGACTTCTAGTCACATAGACGGTGGTTCTTCACAGGTGAACCTCCACCTGTATGGGGACCTAAGACAGGCAACTTAAATGGAAGATGAGAGGAGCCTTAGATGGATGTTAAGAGTCACAGGCTTGTATCCACACCTTGGGTCTCTGCAGTGCTAAAGCTGCATTTGACACATGAAAAAATTGGAACCCATGATAGCAGTGAACCTAGCCCAAATGGCACTGAAATTTCAGCTCAAAATATGAGTGGGTTCTGAAACCCTAGGGCTCATGAGGTACTGAAGTTCCCAGAAGATCTCCTCCCTTGAGATGGACACCAAGGAGAGAGAAGGCTCCTGCTTCAGCTTCCTTCCTGACTTCCCTTATTTAAACTTATGCACACCACACCCTTGCCTCTTCCTCTTCTCAAACATCAATGTAGCCACATCTCTCCACTGCACAAAGTCAAGAGAAAGAGGTTGACTTGTCCAAGCTCACAGCACATAGAGACAGATGCAGGGCTGGAATCTAGAACAGTGGGAGCCATAGAAACAACTTCCTCCTCCTCCTTCATCCTGTTGCTAGTCTGTGAAAGTCCTGTGCACACCTAATCCTTGTCTTTCCCTTCCCTATCATTCTTCCCTCCCACATGGAGCCTTGAGAATGTTGACTACACAGTCAGAAGCCATTGCTCCTAGTTGTTACCTTGGCTCATGTAATGTGTGTCATAGACAAAGTCATTCCACAGACTCTGTCTCAGTTTTGATATCTGAGCATTGACTCTGCTCACCCTTTGTTTTGCTGCCAACTCTTACAATCCCACAACCACTGTCTCTTCCCTTGGCCCTTTCTTCATTATTTCCAGGTTCAACAATCACACCCTATGTGGATCCCACTACCAACCTAGGCTTTTCAGGAATGCTCAGATCATGGCATGGTCATTGGAGAACAAAAAACACAATATATACTGAGATTGGTAACTGGGAACCTGACAAGTCTGGATTCACAACCAAAGGTAAGCTGAGCTGGCAGCTGGTGATAAGACTTGGAGTCATGTAGATGGTGGTTCTACACAGGTGAGCCTCAACCTCTATGGGGACCTGGGACAGGCAACTTAAATAGAAGGTCAGAGTAGCCTTGGAGGGGTATTAAAAGACACAGGCAGGTTGGGGATTTATCTCAGTGGTAGAGCGCTCCAGGCCCTGGGTTCGATCCTCAGCTCCAAAAAAAAAAAAAAAAAAAAAAAAAATCAACCTTTGCTGGGCGGTGGTGGTGCACGCCTTTAATCCCAGCACTAGGGAGGCAGAGGCAGGCGGATCTCTATGAGTTGGAGGCCAGCCTAGGCTACCAAGTGAGTCCCAGAAAAGGCACAAAGCTACACAGAGAAACACTGTCTCGAAAAAACAAAAAACAAAACAAAACAAAAAAAAGACAGGCTAGAAAGGAAACTGATGGGCTCTGCAGTGCTGAAGCTGCATTTGACACATGAAGAAACTGGAACCCATAAGGGGTCAGCAGTGAGCCTAACCCAAATGGCACTGAGTTCAGCTCAAAATATGAGTGTGTTCTTGTCATGAGCTGTTGCAGGCTATGAAGCAAATACAGCAGATAGCAACTGACAATTCAGATGTCAACCCACCCAATGAATAATTCTCTGATGGAGGAGAACCCTGTTCAGGCAATGCTTAAGGGACCACTAACTCCGAAAATTAGATGAAGACAGGCTAAAAGCAAAACACTGATAGTCTCTGAGATGTCATAGTATGGTAAAGAAGCAATATTGTAAGTCTATAACAATTACATTATGACCTCTAGGGACTGCAGATGATTTCAGGAGAACAGGTTGTAAAATTCCCAAGGGTTCCATAATTTTAATTCTCCAAGATCTTGCAACAACCTCCATTTGCCCGATTTCTTTAATAACCAATATTGGAGTGTTCCAAGTGCTGGTGGAAGGCTCAATGTTTCCCTTTTGAAGTTGTTCTTCCGCCAGACATGTAGCTGTTTTAATTTTTTATTGGTTAAGGGCCACTCTTCTACCCAGATAGCAACATCAGACTTCCAAGTAGTGGGATCAGGAGTTAAAGGAACAGTGGTTCCTTTGATAAATTTTGACATCCTAAGTCAGATCTGTCATTTTAAATCTTTGGTATAATGGGCTCAGTTCTGCCCTGGGCTTGTTTACCCACACCCTTTTTAGTGTTAAATTCCACTTGCAACATTTGAACTGATACCTGTCCATTGAACATAATGTCTGATGTAGTATATTTCCCCCCACCTAGGGTAAGGCATAAATGACTAGTCATTAAGTCATATTATTTAATTACCTTTAATAGTTTATAATTTAAGTAAACCTTTTTTAACAATTCGTTATATGTTAGTTGTCTCTATAAGCTTAGAACTTTACATTTTATCCCTGTTAGATATAGCCTAAAAAATAATGAGTCAGAATTGAAGTTATTTTAGTATGGAAACAAAAGCTCTTCATCATAAATGTATGGGGAGACTGGCAATCTTATGAATCCTTTATAGTGTATCATGAGGTAAAATAGGAGCAGTAAAAAAAACAAAACAACTGTTTTATGAGTAAAGAGAGGGGAAAGTTTATTTTTAAATTAAGAGTAATGATTTTTTAAGGTTAGATGAGAACTGGAGCGTTTAAGTTTAAGAGGCAAGCAGCAGCAGCAGAGTGCCTGTTTCAGGCTGGTGAACCACAGGAACAACAAGGGGGATGGTGAGGAGGGACTGGAAAAGACGGGGTGAAGCTACATGCTGAAGTGAAAGTGGAGACCACAGGAAGTCAGAGGCAGAGAGTGGAGACATACAGAGAATAAATGTTTACTTAGTAAGATTTTTCAGTTCTGAAGGTGTCTCCAATCAAACCGAAAAAATCTTTAGAATTTTCCAGATCACAGGAAAGGTGTCCCATTCAAAGTGATCTGGTCAATGGACATGCCCACAATTTTTTGTAAACAAATAGGAGCTCTATAGTAACAGTTAACCCAAGGAAAGAGTGGGGGAGATTTAGAGCAGAAATGGGAGAAAACAGCTGGAGAAATAAGTTTTGGGTGCTGGGAGTGTGGCCAGCACAGGGGATGCAATCTGCTTGCTTGTTTTGTTAGGTAAATGAAGAGCTCCAGGTGTCTAGCTCCACAGAGCCCAGCAGTTTGCAAGTGAACCCTTTCATGTCCAGTGAATCAGACCAATGAAAGCTCTGATTGCAGAGCAAACCCCATCGATCTGTATTTATGTTCTCAGGGAATCTTGTGCAGAGATTTACAATCAGGCAGAACAGAGAAAACCAAATAAGATTATAGTGCCTTGCTGTCTCTTACTTAAATCCCCGAATAAGAAAGCAGCAGAGGTTTTTTTGTTTTTGTTTTTTGTTTTTGTTTTTACTCAGGAAGGGAGGGAGTAGAATCTCCATCTCCTGTCATTGCCCCATGCTGAGTCTGACCTTCAATGTCAAGGAAGCTCAGAGGTCTCCTTTGTTTTTCGGGGAGCTATTTGGGATTATGATGCTCTGTTGTTTCCTCCTCCAAGTCAGTTTCCTCTTTAGAGGCTAATTTTTCTGTGTCTGATTTATCAGTATCTTCTTCTGAGCTGTTAATCTCAACAAATAACTGTTTTATTGTAGATTTTGTCTGACCCATTTTGAGAGAAAAAAACTATAGAAAGAGAGTGCTTAAAGAAGGTTGGGGATTGAACTACTCACCCTATTACACAGCTCTCTTGTCTGTCCATGGGACTTGCAGCTTCCTACCTGGGGAGGGCTCTCTGTTAAGCTGCTTCTTCTGAAGTGTCTCTCTTGAACACTTCCAGAAGGTAGTGGTGCTGACCTCTGAGGGGACTACATCTTCTCTCCAGAATAGTCTTCCTTGATTGTCTCCTTGCAGATCTCTAGTTCCCTCACCAAATAAAGCAGCGCTCTAGACCCACTGTCAGATGGCTTCCCGTGGTAGCTAAGAGAATACTTTACAGGAGAGGGCTTAGAAAAATTTCTTATCTATAATAAATTCACACACGAACTGTTCGGATCATGCCCTTTTTTTCTTCTTCAGTTCCAATTCTACAGCTTTTTTTTTGTTCAGCTCTAATTCTTTCCTCAAGTTCTAATTCTTCTCAGCTCTAATTCTCTAGCTACTCTATTCTACATGGCTACACACACACACACACACACACACACACACACACATATATATATATATATATATATATATATATATATATATATTTAACAACAAACTTTTGGTAACAAAAAAGTTACAAAGGACACATCTGAAGGGGATGAGTAACCATGACAATGCCTGGTTTCAAGGTTCACAGATTGTGACTGGAGGCAAGTTCACAGTACCTGGTGAGACAAGCTGCTGAGGAATCTGCACAAGTACTCAGGTCTTATTGGCCAGACTTGGCAAGAGAGGCTGGCATGGTATTTTACGTTGCTTTGTGCTGATAACTTTGGTTCTATAAATAGGCATCTGAGAATATGTCCTTGTATATTTTTTGTGGAGGTTAACCTTATAAGGCCTTTGCAGAGGTATTTAGTTTAGTTTGAAATTGCTCTAAAGCTTGTCAAAAATGCTCTAAAGTATGTCTTAGACTGGGAGAAACTGTTATTTTCTTGTGTTAGTTTGAGCAAAGAAACAAAACAGGCTTCTAAGTGACTTACAGTCCTCATGGAACAATAGATCTAGTTATGAAGCATATTCTAGTATGTTTTTATTCATCAAAATTATATAGCTTAATGAGAAGTCATCTTCCTGACCATCCACAAATATATGTGCCCATAAGATTGAGATGTAATCATGGATTTACATATACCCATTATATGTAAATTCATGGTAATGGGGAGATTCCACAGCTGTATTTTTGCACATGTAAAATTGCACACAGGAGCAACAGTTTTCAGAGTCAGTGGTCACATGAGCCTTGTTTGAATGGGGTTCTTCTCCATCAGTGAATTACTCATCAAGTGGGTTGACATCTGAATTATCAATGGCTGTCTGCTGTATTTGCATCATGTTCCATAATAGCTCAGGACAGGTTCTAAGATCCCAGGGGTCATGCAGGTCCTTGATTTCCAAGAAGGTCTCTTCCCTTGAGATGGACCCCAAGGAAAGAGAAGGCTCCTGCCTCAGCTTCAGCCTGACTTCCCTTATTTAAATTTATGCACACCACACCCTTGCCTCTTCCTCTTCTCAAACATCAATGTAGCCACATCTCTCCACTGCACAAAGTCAAGAGAGAGAGGTTGACTTGACCAAGCTCATAGCACATAGAGACAGATGCACAACTTTCTCCTCCTTCATCCTGTTGCTAGTCTGTGAAAGTCCTGTGCACACCTAACCCATGTCTTTCCCTTCACTATCATTCTTCCCTCCCACATAGAGCCTTGAGAATGATGACTACACAGTCAGAAGCCAAGGCTCCTAGTTGTCACCTTGGCTCATTAATGTGTGTCATAGACAAAGTCATTCCACAGACTCTGTCTCAGTTTTGATATCTGAGCATTGACTCTGCTCACCCTTTGTTTTGCTGCCAACTCAGCAACAGGTGCTGGTCTCACATCTTCAAGCTGCACAAGAAAGCCCTTTCACAAGGAACTTAGGGAAGACTCAACCGATGATATTGTAGCAGAGATTACACTGTGCATGTCTCTCTCCCCACAAATGTTTCTCCTGGGCTACTACCAGTGTCTTTCTCTCATTGCTTTTCATTGTTATTCCCTTCTTCTAATTTGTTCCATTAAAATAATTTTGCTCCATCCTGAACTTCCATGCTCATTTTCATCGTGTATCAAACTGTGTTTCCAAGACCCTCAACTTCCTCCCTAGGATGCCAATTAGTAACTGTCAGCTATGATCTGAAATATTTCCCTAAGCCCCTAAGAACTTTTTCAGAATCTCTGTGACTTATACATTATATCTACCTTGAAGTTGTAGATCAAACACTAAGACAAATCAAAAGGCTTCAAAAATAAGATGACTAACTGGACATGAACATACTCCTATAATCCCAAAACATGTGAAATTAATTTGGGAAGAATGTGAGCTCAGGGCAAGCCTGAACTACACAATAAGATGCTACCTATCTCTGTGGGACAGAAGCTCAGAGGCACACATGAGAGAGTTGAGGCTTAGAGAAGAATGGAGACTCACACTTAGGACTAGAATAGATCATCATAAGTGTTTGAACTTTGTGGTCCCAGAGCAGGACCTTTTCCTGCAGCACCTGTAAGAGCATCATTATCTACAGGAGACTGTGGGGAAGGGTATGAGGTTAAGCAGGTAGGACTCCAGCCTTGCTACCCTGATTCCTACTGCTGCTTCTCTGGCAATCACACAACCACTGTCTCTTTACCATGGTCCTTTATTCATCATTTTCAGACACAACAATCACACCCCATGTGGATCCCACTACCTGCCAAGGCTCCTCACAACAACTGAGCACACGCCTTGTGAATTTCAGACCAATGCTGATGTCAGGTAAGGAGCTTATTAAATGGGAACTTTATGAGTCTGGATTCACAACAAAAGGTAAGCAGAGCTGGCAACTGGGGATGGGATTCTAGTCCACAAAGATGGTGGTCCTTCACAGGTGAGCCTCCACCTGTATGGAGACTTGGGACAGGCAACTTAAATAGAAGGTCAGAGGAGTCTTGGAGTGATGTGAAGAGTCACAGGCTAGAAATGATGCCTCCGGGCTCTGCAGTGCTGAAGTTGCATTTGACACATGAAGAAACTGGAACTCAAGGGGGTCAGCAATGAGCCTAGCCCAACTAGCAGTGATAGTTCAGCTCAAAATATGAGTGGGTTCAGAAATGCCAGGGCTCATGCAGGTCCTGAAGTTCCCAGAAGATCTCTTCCCATGAGCTGGACTCCAAGGAGAGGGACGGCTCCTGCCCCAGGCAGCTTCAGCCTGACTTCCCTTATTTCAACTTATGCACACCACACCCTTGCCTCTTCCTCTTCTCAAGCATCAAAGTAGCTACCTCTCTCCACCGCACAAGGTCTAGACAGAGAGGTTAACATGTCCAAGCTCACAGCACATAGAGACAGATGCAGGGCTGGAATCTAGAAAAATGGGAGCCTGAGAAATGACTTTCTCCTCCTTCATCCTGCTGCTACTCTGTGAAAGTCATTGTACTCTGTGAAGTTTATTTTAAAGAGGGAACCTGGAACCCAAGCAGGTCTGCAGTGAGTCTGGTCCAATGTCACTGGAGTTCAGCTCATAATATGAGTAGGTTCTAAAATCCCGGAATTCATGCAGGTCCTGAAGTTGCAAGAAGGTCTATTATGTTGAGATGGATCCTGAGTAGAGGGTAGGCTCCTGCCTCAGCTTCAGAAAGTTTCCTCTACTCACTTTCCTTACTTCTAGGTACACAGGCCACATCTTGCCCTCTCCTCCTTTCAGGCATCAACGTAGCCACCACTCCCGACTGCACAGCATAGATAGATAGATAGATAGATAGATAGATAGATAGATAGATAGATAGATAGATAGATAGATAGATAGATAGATAGAGATTAATGTGTCCTAGGTCACAGCACATAGAGACAGAGGCATTGCTGGATTCTAGAACAGTAGGAGTCTGAGAAATCATTTCCTCCCCATTCATCCTGTTGCTGTTCTGTGAAAATCCTGCCTACTCTGGCCCTTGTCTCTTCCTTCAAAGTCTATTTTCACACCAAACGTTAAATTGTAGGAGCCTGACATCAAGAACAACCTGAACTACATTGTGTATCCTATTAAAATTTATTAATCCAGGAGTATTAGTTATTTGTCATGTTATTTTAACAAAATTTAAATAGAAATAATTCAATTTTTTTTAATTTAAATTTTAAAGATAGAAAGAATTCCTTTTTTTCAGAGATTGAGAATGTAGTCCTTCAGGAATGAAATTCATTTACTACAAGAGACTGAATCAGCTGGTCCTGTTGCAAAACAAAAAGAGTTAAATGCTGTTTCTCAGCTCACTGTTCCTTTTTATTTGTCCAGGACTCCAGCCCTTGGGATAGTGCCACCTACAGTTAAGATGGACCTTCCTACCTCACTTAAGCTAACCCATCCCTCACAAATCCTCCCAGGGACATTTCTGCTAGGTTCTTTTTTTTCTATGACCTTGACAATACTAACCATCACAACATGTCACAGGATCATTGTAAGATTTCAAAGTGTAAATGTCTGAATCACAGTGGGTGTTGGGAAACTATCTGTTTCTTCCCTGTTCTTCCTCACTGGGAGAGCCCTCTCACACCTTCACCAAGCTTTTCTAGAACCAACCTCCAGACCATGAGTTTCCAGGACAAGAGTAACCCAATCTTCCAACATCAGAGGGTGTGTCTGAAGACTGGGAATCTTCTTCCAATCCACAGCACAGCAATCAGGAAGCTCCTGGAATGAGGTGGCCTCTACCTGAAAGTTTAAATTCACTACTCAGGTGATATGAGCTTCTTAATGTGATATAAAGACTCAGTCCCCTGGGGCACAGTGCAGAGCATAGCACCTGGACCTGGATAACCCTCAAGAGCAGCCTAGAGATCCTGCCACTAGAGTGTCACTGTTGGACATAGCACTGCTCCCAGGAGGTTCTTGGAATTCAGGGCAGTGTCTTCTCCAGCACAAGAACACAGCTAGATTTCTGGGCAGGGAACTGCCAGACAAGAGAATCCATTACCACAGGACCCCTCATCACTCACCTTCCCAGTGGCCAAGGGTCATCAGGGGTTTGCTGAGCACCTACTCATGTCAGGCCCTGTGCCCAGGGCTTCCCTTGCATCTCACTCACACTTAAATCTCACAGTCACTCTTGAGAGAGAGAGAGAGACACTGCTGTTGTCCCACATGGAGACAAGAAGAGCAAGGCTGAGAGAAGTGGAGGCTCACAGTGGAAGAACTGTATTCAGCCTTCACTGTCACCATTCACACACTGAACACCTCTGTCTTCCACTCTCTGACATCAGGGATATGAGGACAGTCACACCAAAGCCAGGGAGGTACAAGCTCTGGCTGCCAAGGACCCAACCTTGAGCAATACTGCCTCTCAGTGCTGAGAAATGCCACCTTTGAAATCTGAGCTACATTCAAGAAAAGCATCCCTTCTACTGCCAGCTTGCAGTAAATTTGTAGAATCCAGGGCCTTAAAATATGGCTCAGACTTAAAGTGCATCAGCTGACTTAATCAGTCCCACAACTTCCCATTCAAAATAGAAAGGGAAAAAGAAAAAGGGGAAATACACAAACGCAATCACATCTGTGCAATGCAGTAACCTTAGGAATGAAAATAGCAAGCGTGAAGTTAGGAGAACTAAAGAGCTACTGTAACTAAACAGCTCATTAGATTAAAGGATCCTGGCATACAGGGTGATGGGGAAGTGACATTCTATATTAGCTATCATCAACAGCAGAGAAAAGACCAATTGAAGATAAGGGCACTTTTCATTCATTCTAAGTCTCGAAGGGGTTTCTCATCTGAAAACTTGAATACTGTAATATCCAACAACAGCTTCATACTAAATGCTTATACTAAAATGAAAGGAGGGAAACTCTGAGTAAAGGGCACGATGGCTGATACTGTAGGCTTTGTGGGTCTCTGTCACACCTGTACAGCTCTGCTGACACAGTGTCAAAGATAGAACAGATGACAGAACAACAAATGGCCATGCTCTGCTTCAACTGTGCTCCATGCTGTGTTTACAGACTATCTTTTGTTTTATTTTGATGTTTTGCTGTGGTTCAAATACCATGTTATTTCTTTCATTGTTTTAATTAACGTCAAGAGACAGGCTCCATGCTATTTTAATATATATAGTATAATATCTAATATATATATATATATATATACATCATCAAACTTTGTTCTTATTTTTCCGCTGTTGTCCTCCCCCTCCTCCTCCCTCTCTTCCTGGCCCCTCCCTCTCCCCAAATATCCTCCCTTCTTTCATGACATACCTGCTCTATTACCCTATCCTGTCCCCTTCCACTCCCTTCAGATTTCTTCCTTTCCTTCATGGGCAGTCCTCTTACACTGAAGACTGAATTTTTGAATTTCATATACTCTTCCTGACATGAAATATTCATCTTCTGGTTTTATCTAACTGTTTACACTCATAGCTATTATTTCTATTATTTTCAGCTTATAAAACAAGTGGCCAGCTGAAGTTGGCAAACATTGGCCAAATATAATCAGCTCTCTTTCTCCCTCTGTGTGTGTGTGTGTGTGTGTGTGTGTGTGTGTGTGTGTGTGTGTATGTATGTTTCTTTTTTTTTCAACCAAGTCATTTATTAGATAAGTATATATTTTAGGAAATAAGTAATTATCTTTTCAGTTTTTATAACATTCCATTTTCTTTTTTCCTCTTCCTCTCCCTTTTTATTTTTTTTCCTTTTTTTAATTATTAAGAAATTTTTCATTCATTTTTACCTACCAACCACAGATCCCCTTCCTCCCTCTTCCCACCCCCAGCCTTTCCCCAAACCACCCCCCATTCCCACCTCCTCCAAGTTAAGGTCGACCATAGGGAGTCAGCTCAGCCTGATACATTCAGTTGAGGCAGGTCCAAGCCCCTCCCATCTGCACCAAGGCTGCACATGATGCCACACCTTAGACACTAGGCTCCAAAAAGCCTGTCATGCACCAGGGACCGATCCCGATCCCACTGCCTGTGGACCCCCCAAATAGTTTAAGCTAAACAACTATCTTATATATCCAGAGGGCTAGTCCAATCCCATGGGGGCCCCACAGCTATGGGTCCACAGTTCATGGGTTTCCACTAGTTTGCCTGGCTGTCTTTGTACATTTTCCCATCATGATTTTGATGTCCCTTGCTCATAGAATCCCTCCTCTCTCATCGATTGGGCTCCCGGAGCTCGGCCGGAGCCTGGCCACGAATCTCTGCATCTGCTTCCATTAGTAACTTCATGAAGGCTCTATGATGACAGGGTATTCACTAATCTGGTTACCAGAGTAGATCAGTTCAGGCACCCTCTCGGCTATTGCTAGTAGTCTAAGGTGGGGTCATCCTGAGAACTTCCCTAGCACCTGATTTCTCCTTATTCCCATGATATCTTCATTCATCATGGTACCTCTTTCCTTGCTCTTCCACTCTGTTCCTGTTCCAGCTTGACCCTCCAATTTTCTTATGTTCTCATCCCCCATTCTTTGCCCTCTATGACCCTCTCTCTCACTCCCAGTTTGCATATGTAGATCTCATCTATTTCTCCTTCGCTGGGCTATCTATGTGTCCTTCTTAGGGTCCTCCTTGTTAGCTAGCTTCTCTGGAGCTGTGGGTTGAGCCTGGTTATCCTTTGCTTTCCGCTTAAAATGAGTACATACCAGGTTTGTCCTTCTAAGTCTGGGTTACCTCACTCAGGATGATATTTTCTAGTTCTATTCATTTGCCTGCACATTTCATGATATCATTGTTTTTTACTGCTGAGTAATACTCCATTGTGTATATGTTTCACATTTTCTTTATCCATTCTT